TATTTTTCTCAATTTATTTCCACCCCCAATGCACATGATGCACGTGATAACATGTTTAATCACATTCAACCAATCTCGGGTACCAACCCTTCTTTCTTAAGCCATACTCACGGTCCAACCATCACTCGGAATTCACTCGGCGCTCACATACCATTCATGGTACTCATAGTGGAAACACAACATCCGCTCATTAATATTGTTTATTAGTTTCATTAATAATTAAAGAAGGTCCAATTTTTTTTTTTTCTCTATGAAAGAATAAATTTTCTTTAAAATTTTAAAATCTTTTTTATTTCTATCTAAGTCCACTTATTTTAGCCTAAACCCATTTTCGTTAGTCTAAGCCCATCTACTTTAAAATCAAGCCTCTTGATTTTAGTCCAAGTCCATTACCCAGTTTATTTTATTTAAGTCCAAGCCCATTAACATTAATCCAAGCCCAAGTCCATTTGTTTTAATCTAAGTCCACTTTATTTTTAAGTCCAAGCCCATCTCATTTTAATTCAAGTCCAAGCCCATTAACATTAGTCCAACACCATTTATTTTAATTCAAGCCTAATTCCATTTGTTTTAATTTAAGTCCACTTTATTTTTAAATCCAAGCCCATCTCATTTTAATTCAAGTCCAAGCCCATTAACATTAGTCCAAGATCATTTATTTTAATTCAAGCCCAAGTTCATTTGTTTTAATCTAAGTCCACTTTATTTTTAAGTCCAAGCCCATCTCATTTTAATTCAAGTCCAAGCCCATTAATATTAGTCCAAGATCATTTATTTTAATTCAAGCCCAAGTTCATTTGTTTTAGGTTAAAATTTTTTCCAGCAATAACACACCTAAACAACCTATACTAAACCAGCCATAACTCCTTACATATTTATCTAAAACTCACGAAATGTTAAGGGGAGATATTAGACATATAGATAAACAACTTTTATCTTTAACGTTTCCTCCAAAAATCATTCTAAAATCCTTAAATAATTCACACAAGTTTCGGAACCAAATAAACTTTTCCAGTAGCTAGTCCATTCAATGACCCATACCAAATCCGTCATAAATCCTTACATACAGATCTAAAAATCATGAAATGTTAGATACACACATAGATGAACAACTTTCCTTCTTTGAGTTCTGCCCAAAAACCACTCTATGATTCCGAAATAAATCGCACAACTTTCGGAATGAAATATTTTTCTAGTAGAGGTTCCATTTGAACAATCCATACCAATTCAGTCATAACTCCATATATATATCTCTAACATTCACGAAATTTTAAAGAGACATAGTAGACACATATATCAACAACTTTCATTCTTTGCATTGTTCCTAAACATCACTCTAAGATCCCGAAATAAATCACACCAAGTTCGGGTTTTTCCACCCCTAAAATCCAAAAATCTTCTCTTCAAGCACATTTCTCATCACCCATGTTTAACCATCCATCATCAAACAACAAGTGTTTAAAATCATCACAAATACCATAATCACACTTCACATGAATTAAATAACTCACAAAATAAACATGGAAAGCATAAACAAAGCAAGAAAAAAAAATGAAACCTACTTACATTGGATTAACTTTCCTAAAATCTCTTTTGTTTCCTTTTAGTTTCCCCTTCTTTTTCCTTCTCTTTTTCCTCTTTCTCCCCTCTCTTTGACTCTTTCTTTCTTGGTTTTAAGGCAGCTACAGGATGCACCAAAATGCATCCTTATCCCATTTTTTCTTACTTAAATATCTTACCTAATCTCATCAATTCAATGTTCATTACAAGTGTCAAAAGCTTGTGGTGAAATGCAAAGTAAATGTGGCTGAAATTAATGAAATGATGGGTGTAAATTTCAAGGTGATGGTCAATGAAAATTTGTAAAAAGTAGGGGTCAAAATGTGATTAAATAAGGGTAATTCAATTAACTACATTTTCAGAATTCCTACCGAAATTTCGACAATTAGCACTTTTTTTTTTTATAATCTATACTTATTCCATATAAAATAAATTTTGTAACTAATTTACCCAATGTTTTTTTTTTACGTACACCCGTTATTCTCAACAAAACGTAAATACCGCATATTCCAAGTACATATGTTGATCTAGTTACAGATTTTCACGTACGTAATCGATATATTATATATATATGTACGAATATAAATATCTTGATATGTACACTTATACGATTACGAATTTTACGAGGGTTACAATTTTTGTCTAGTTTGTCTAAATCATTATTTGTCTTATTTAATTTACGTCTTCTCTTCTTCTCTAATTCTGAAATTGTTCTTCTTATTCTAGATCTAAAAGAAAGGCGGTAGTAAATCGTATCACTTGATCTAAAATCAATAGCTTTAAAAGTATATTTTATGTGTTTCAAATTAACGACTAAAATGTTAGATTTGTCTACCGAATGATTGTGATTAGATCCATTCAAAACAATCAACTTGTGTCTTCTAGATCATGAGTTCATTTGTTTTCCATTTAAAAAAAATGAGATTATCATAAAAGAATCGGTACAATATGTCCATTTTGTCAAGTTTATCTATTTTGTAAAAAAATTTGTCTATTTCATCACTTTTGGACTTAAAGTTATTATAGTGTATCTTTGTGTATTTGTCTTGATTCTTTTTTAAAAAAGTAAGAAGGCATGAATATAATTATTACCATGATATGCAAATTAGAAGGCGATAACAAATTTGAAGGAAACTCGTATGATGGGCCAAACTTGAATTCAAAAATTCGAGACAAAAATTTGATGAGTTACAAGTTAGAAACAAGAAACACTTAAGTGAAAAAAAATGAAGAATTTGAAGCTCAAATTTCCAAGAATGATTATGTCAAAAGGGAGGTTGACAAGGCTGAACTCGTGGGAGTTGAAAGCAATTAGATATCCAATGAAAAATTTGAAAAAGCCGTTATCCCTAACAATGTCATAGATGTTAAAATTTTTTACAATGAAATCACCAATGTTGCGGCAATTTCTAAAAAAAGATAGTGTGAAGGATGAAGAAGATAATAAGGATGACTTTATGGGTGTTGAGAGCACTCAAACTTTCAATAATAACAATGACTATGCTATTGTCGATAAAAGTTAACCAAGGGTAATTACAAGCCCAAGGCCAAGGCATCCAAATTCAATCTTAATTTAAGATGACTAGTGCTTGAGGAGAAGTTAGAGAGTATTACATAAGAAGATCTAGGCTCATTAAATACTTGGCAAAACAATTAGAAAAGCCAAAAAATGATGAGTTTGATAATCTTTTATTTTTGCAAGAGGAGGAACACAAGTGAGAACATTGTGGATGTTCAAAACAATATACCATATATTAAATTTTTCTTTCTAGAGGGGTCCAATAAAAACAAAATCAAACCAAAATTTTTCTAGCCATTATTTGTTTGTATTTTGCAGATTAGGTACGTGCATGTGCATTTGACACTTTGTTATTATACAATTTGAGGATAAGTGTTCTCCAATCGAGGGACTATGACGAGCATCAAGATGAAAGTTCAAGGAAAAATCCTTTTGAGAAAAGTGGGAATTGTGAAAATAAAGAAAGTCAAGGCTACATTGATGTAATTAGTATAAAATATGGATTTTCTTTAAATTGGATTTGTCTTATTTAGGCATGTTTTAAACTTTAGCATATATGAATAAGTTATTCTTACATATCTTAAGAGATTCATACATTTTAGGGATTTAGACATAATTAGGTTGTTAAGGTTTTATGTTATTTTAGCCTACAAAGAGGCTTTGATGTATATGAATTTTGGTAGTTTTTTTATTTTCAATAAAAAATGAGGTATTTTCTCCTTGGTTCTCGTAAGAACTTTCTAAGCTTATAAAGGAATATTCATTCTTATGGCATTCATTCTTTAACCTTATTGAGAATCTGATCTATTCTTATGGCATTCAAATAGACTTATCTCTCTCTTTCTACCTATTATAGAGTGTGGTGTCCAATATCCTTCAATCTGAATCTGATTTGGCTTTTCTAGGATTCATCCTTTTTTGTTTGTGGGTTCTCTAGCCATCAAGCTAGGTGGGTTCACATCAAAGGTCACCTCATAAATCATTTCCAAGTTCAAGTATCACACCTAACCTCTTTAACAACAATCCTAAATGTGTATGGTACATGAATATGCCCTTCTTTAGTAACCATAAATTTGAGTTATCTTCAAACACTTTCAGATTAAATTTCCACAAGTGTTCAACTATGACAGTTCATTGTGGCTACTTCGCCACAACTGAGAGCCAAAAAAATCCACCTCTGAAAAGCCCTTTCTTGCAATTTTATTTTTTTAATACCTTTTACTATTCACTCATCTTCCAAAAACAAGATCCGGCTGCCACCCTTCATCTTCTTCCTTTCACCCGGTCAGCCATCACCATCATCTCTAAGCGATCAGCTACCACCCGAACACTACAGCTCCTTCATCCGAACAGCCCTTTTCTTCCTCCTACTCGAGACATCAACACCCAAGCACCAGCCCACAGTTCAGCCGGACCACCCTTTTCCTCCCATTTTTAGTTAAAGCTGCTATTCATTATCTTCTCAAAACAAAAACACACCATATTTCATTTTCAACCTCAATCTGAATCTCAATCGGTCGCGTCGTGGAGCGTCTCCTCACCTCCATTACCTAATAAAAAACACTATCTTCCTTCTAATGTCTATTGACTCTCTCTCTCTCTCTCTCTCTCTTTCTCAACCCTAAACCCATCCCTCTCTCTCTCACACAGTCGTTAGTCTCACTCTTTCTCACTGTCTAACAAATCACAATCTCTTAACCCTAGCCACCTCACCCCTCACCCTCGGCGTCAAAGTCTCAACTCTCACTCCGTAATCTCTTAACAGGAGATAAACTCTTACTTCTCTACTCACACTGGGACACTTAAATGCCAGTTCTAGCACTTTAGAAATCTAGACAGAGGGATTGTTTTTAACTTTGAAGTAAGCTCTCATTGAAGAGCTAGCTAGATTCATCTTTCAGGGGATTCTCCCAATCATATCATGGGAACCAAGCATAACTCCACGCGCTTCAAAACGCAACGTCCATTGTCTATATTCATTGTTCTCTATTTGTGTTGCTTCTTTTACATCTTGGGAGCATGGCAGAAGAGTGGTTTTGGAATAGCTGTACAGATGACTAAGCAGACAGATTGGAATATCTTTACTGATCTGAACTTTGAAACCCATCATAATGATGTTAAGATTGTTGAGCCTTCTCAACCAAAAGCCAAAGTATTTAAGCCTTGTCATGTTAAGTATACTGATTATACTCCATGCCAAGAACAAGATCAAGGCATTGTCCCCCTGAAGAGGAAAAACGGCATTGTTTTGTTCCAGCAGCCAAAGGGTACATGACCCATTCCCTTAGCCAAAAGGTCATGTCCACTATGTTAATTTTCCTCATAAAAGCCTAGCTATGGAAAAGGTTGTTCAGAACTGGATTCAATTTCAAGGTGATGTATCAAATTTCCAGGAGGAGGAACTATGTTTCCTCAAGTTGCAGACATACTTGATGAAAAGAAACGTGTTGGCTATGTTCTTTGCACCACGGGACAATCATGAAGCACATGTACAATTTTCATTGGAGAGGTAGTACCTCCCGTTATTGGGGTTCTAGGTTCTATACATCTTCGGTACCCATATTGCCCAATGCTCTCGATCTGCAATTCCATGGACCGCGAAGGATCATAGATGTGCAAGGAAAAATAGAGTAATTTCTTTGTTGCCAAGTCCTCTTTAGTTGCAGCGAAATTGGCAATTTTCAGACACGTTGCAAATTTACAAATAACTTTAATAGCAACAGTGACTTTTACTATTTGTAATAATTTTGGAGCATTTTGGAGCAACCTTTAGTCACCATAACGGGACTCATATAATATTTTAATAGTAAGCAGCTACTCCTTTTTTCGATAACTAAACAATGAGTTATTATTGGGGACGAAAAGAATAGAATTTACCCAAAATCAGATTTTTGAATAAGTTTCGAACCTTTTGAAACATTTTGGGTAACTTTTGACTCTATAAAGCTTAATTTAAAAGAATAAATAAAAATGATGAAAAATCCATGCTACGAATAATTGAACTATCAAATGCATCACTTGAATATGAATAAAATAATTGTCACATTTTCTGCTATGTAAAATCATTTTGCGTTCATAAAAAAAAGCATCAATGACTTCCCACTTAAGTGAATGAAGCCACCAATAGCTCCAAAACTATTTTTCCCCAAAATTGATTATGGAAACAAACTTATCAATAACGTTTCACTTATGTGACAAAGTCATCGATGATTTCAAAATCATTTGACATGTGCTTTGTTCGTCAAAAAATAGGCCACCGATACTTCCAACTCGTGCGAACGAAGCCGCTAGTGGTCGTTTTCCTCAAAAAATAATTATGAAAAAAAAAGGTTATTGAAAACTTTGCACTTATTTGACAAAGCTATCGATGATTTTGAAATTATTTTACATGTGTTCTATTTGTTATAAAATAAGCCACCGATGACTTTCAACCTACGTGAACGAAGTCGTCAATGACCTCAAAACCATTTTTCTCCTAAAAACTCGATTGTAAAAATGAAGTTATTTTTAACTTTCACTTATGTGATAAACCCACCAATGATTTCGAAATCAATTTATATGTGTTCTATAAAGGATTGTGCATCCTATAGATGTATAGAATAAACAAAAATTTTCCTCCATCTAAAGGGCTAAAGATTATGCCTTTGAATCAACTAACTATATATACATGAATTAAAGCAAGGAATAGAAAACTACTTCTTGTAGCACGGATCTAAATTCTTTAGCGGAAAAGCTATCCAAGTGTTTGACTTTTATTGATGATCCACGCAATCCAAACACCAATAAAAAAACACTCAAAATTGATAGAGTGCTAGCTCCACCTTTTCCGATTTGTGTAGTGTTTCCTATAGAAATCTAATCCGAGCAATTTTGCAACAACGAAAGAGAAGTGGGAGAGAGGGCAGCATGCTAAGGTTTTTGGGAAAAACTATTTTTCACTTTTTTCTTTCTTGGTCATGTGCCTTCATGCTTTTTTTTTTCTTTTTTATTGGTCGAATTCTCTCTCTCAAAAATTTGCTTCTTGCTTAATGTTGCACCTCTCCTTTTATTTATATGGGGAAATTTTCCTTGTCCTAGAAGGACAAGAAGAGAGGTGGCAAATAAGTCCTAATTAGACTTATGGTTGTTGCTTCCTAATCCTCTAAGGATTATGAGTTATTTTACATGTGGGCTTTTTTATCTTTATTTTTAAAACATTCACCCATATCCAATAAGGTTGATGCTTATCCTTAAAACATTCATCCTTATCCAATAAGGTTGATGTTTATCCTCCCATCAAAATATCTTAAGGCTTTTAATTAAACCTATTGGGTCAAAATCAATCTGCCTAATTAATTTATCCGGACTATCTAAATAAATAATCTTAGATAATTTTACATAGCCCATATTAAGAAATAATTTTTTAAAATACCATTTAACCTAAATTAGGAAACTCATTTTCATTTTAGGTTATTTACTTCCAAATTAGGAAACTAATTTCTAAAATAGGAAACTTTTCATTTTAGAAAACTTCCATTTAAGAAGACATACCATTTTTGAAAACTTTCTATTTTTGGAAACATTTTTCCAAAATAGAAAACTTTCAAAGTTGGAAACTTTTTTAATGTCTTTGCTTCTCTTTAATCATGTAAATACTTAAACTTATGTGTGTGACCAATAGGCTTTTAGATATGTTGACAATGTATCAAGAACAAAAGACTCATCTTTTTTCTCTTGATACATAAATCAAGATTGACCTCTAGCAAGACCGAGCCTATCGAAATGAGTTTCAAAGTATATAAATTCTCTAATGAGATAACTATGATGACTTCAAGTCAAAAGACTAGTTATACCCATCTCATATGAGATTCTCATAGACCGAACCAAATAGGTTCTCATGGTAAGTCAAGTCCAGGTGATATGTTCTCTAAAACTAATCAACTAAGTGCTTGTTTTGGCAATATCATGCTATTAAGTGTGAGATCTCCTACTACTATCTTATAGTATGAGCATAACACTCACAAGTCTTACTACATATGGTCAATATCCATTCTTGACAATGCTATAACTTAGAACATTTGATGATATCATTTAATTGCATTGATGTTTATCTCATATATTTTGATCAATCATTAATGTAATGCATATCATATGGACTTCTATCTAATTCTATCAAAATACAAATAAAAAAAATTAATACGAAGAGTTCTTTTATTAATAAAATAAAGAATATAATATTATAGTAAGTCAAACCATCCAATCGAGATTGGATCTTAAGCATCTACACTAACCCAAGGAAGCAACTCCTATATAAATAGGAGAAGGGAGATGCGACAAAGTGAGAAGAAAATTAGGGAGAGAGAGACAAGAATATAAGGCTAAAAAAGCACATATGGAATAAGTAAGAAAAAGAAAGAAAAGTTTTTTCTCCTAAAAAAAACCCTAATTGCCACACCTCTCCACACAAAGCCAAAAGTTGGCACAAATTACCTTATATGATTTCTAGAGGAAAATAAACTATATAGGAGGATTGAAGCTAGCATTCCGTGATTTCTATGGCTTCTTTTGTGGTGTTTAAGCTATGTGGATTATTGATAGAGGTTGGACACTTGGACGGCTCTTTTTCTACAAAGGCTAAATCTACGCTATAAGAGATAATCCTTTACTCACACTTTTAATTTTTGTATGTATGATTAGTTGATTCAACGACTTGATTTTAGGAGCCTTCGATTGAGGAAAAAATTTTAGTTTATTCCTTACATTCTTAGGATGCATGATTCTTCACCTTAAACTTTATTGGGTTAAATTTAGATTAAGTGGGGGCACTAAATTCTTTCCTCTTCCTCAACAAATTAGCACTCTCAATCATTGTTTCCTTACTCAAACTCTCAACTCAAATAGTTATAGCCTTTAGTTTTGCATAACTTTCCAAATCACTAGATGAGATCTTACTTCGAATTGCCTAAGTCAACCCTTATTCAAATTTTTGACATTTGTCCCTTTCGATACCAACCATGTATGATGCATAATGAGATAACTAAATAAGCTATACCTTATAGTCCGTTACTAACATGTTATTCTATCTTAAGTTCAAAAATTCTTTCTGTTTCTCATCTTGATAAATTTCAAGCATATAATTATCCGTAAATTCTTGAAAAAAAATCTTCCTATCGGAGGATTGGAGGTCGAAATGTGGCATTTGGGGCTATCTCTCACTAATCATAGGCATTCAATTGTAGAAGAGACCTTGCATAATTAAATTTTTCATCCTAAACATAATACATCATGTTCAACACCCTTTTGATTCTCTTTAACCATTTCTCAACTTCCAATGGATCCGTAGACCCCAAAAAGTCAACCGATCCATACTTTTTTAGTCCGTCATAGCTCTGCTCCCTTGATCTATTTTCGGGATGTAATGCATGATGATGATGAATCCGTGGTCCAACCCGAGCTATAGGTTGTTCCACATGTACATGAGAAGTAACAGAGGCCTCTATAGAATGCTAGTCGACTGGTCCCTCTCTCTCTAGTTCATCACGGTTGAAAGCATGATCGTCGATTTCTTCTATCTTATAGATGTGTAATTATATCATATCATATGTGTTTGTGCAATAATATACATATATGTATGCCCGTATGAATCCTAACCAAAGCTCTTATACAAAAAGTGTAATAACCTAAACTTCCCCACATGCATGCATTTACATAAACCATTTACTTGTCAAATGAAAAAAAAAATACCATTCAAGGGGAAGAGAAGCACATGGGTAGTGGCCACTTAGCATAGTTTGGAAGGTGGTTTATACACGTCTATGTGTGTGTTTCAATAAAGAAACACCCATCCAAGGAGAAGAAGAGACATTTATGCAATGTCATGTGGCACGATTTGAATGGTAAATTTTGTACACCCATGTGTGTGTCTTAAGGAAGAGGCACAATTTCAAGGAAAAATGAGACATATGGGCAAATTCATGTGACACAATTTGAGGAACAAATTTAGCATGCTTGTGTGTGTGTGTCTTTAAGGAAAAATTTTAATCTAAAAAAAAAGAGGAACACGAGACAAAATGCTTTCCTTCCTTAAGAGTCACATAGCCATATATCTTCCTAAAGTCCCTAATAGCCTTGTTTTGATGTACATTGGTTGGGCTTATCTACTTCAATCTACTATCTCCTATATAATGCATATTAGTAAATTCAACGTAAAATGCACCCTTCTTTATTCCTTATCATGAAACTTTTACATCCTCTAAGATTATATAAATCAAAATTCTCATTATAATGTAAATTTTTATCATAATGAGAGGAGAGGGAAGTCGTCAGCTGACCTATCACTTATAATGGTTAATGAGCGAGTAAAAGAGATGAACTTTAACTTTGTGCCTTCTTAATACCTAAAATGAAATTGCATTTTTAAAGAGATGCTACTCGGTGAGGGGATAATCATCATCAAGACCATAACACAAATTCATATTACCAAATAAGAGTATATAATCAAGT